AAATTGAGGTAAACGGTGACAATGCACACCCTCTTTGGAAATGGATGAAGGCACAGCCCAAAGGAAAGGGATTGCTTGGAAAGTAAGTGTGTTTTTTTGTTTTTTTTTTTTTTTTTTTTTGTGTGGTCACAGTCTAAAAGCAGGTTCAAGCCACTACTTTACCTGTGATTATGTCACTTTTTTCCTTTAACCTATTCTTCAAGGCAATGCATCTCTGCTAAATCGCTCTTGTAACAGACGATTGAATTACGCAAACCAGAGTTAAACAACCTCTGACGAGTTGTAGCCATTATAAATCATGTGTGTCCAAGTAACAGAAGGTCTTAAATATGATGATGTGAAACACACAAGGGGGTTTTAATTTTAAATGTGTGCTGTATGAATGAATTCAGTTTTTATCAGAATACAAGGTATTAAAAGTTTCACATGGCCATTTTGCGTTGCCCCTCTTTCTGATCTAATGAACCATTACAACTACCACATTATCTCCATCTGCTTGATCCTGAAATTTGAAATGTGAAAGTTTTTGCGGGGCCCTCCTACTTTTACCTCTGCTTTTAAAAGCTTTCTTTAAATTCAGAAGTAAACTGGCATTTTTGCAGTCATCCTAAAGCTATACTTTTAAAATACTATTTAAAAAACACTCCCTATGCATAACTATTAAGGTTTGGTTGTAATTCATATGTATTTCTTCTACCAACAGTAACATCAAGTGGAACTTCACAAAGGTAAATTGGAAATAGCTTTTTTTTGTTCACAACTGTCTTCAAAAGTGTGTTAACTTTGACTTTTTCTTTTGCTCTGCAGTTCCTGATAAACAAGGATGGGGAGGTGGTGAAGAGATACGGTCCAACTGACGATCCAGAGGTAATCCATTGCAGCTGTGTTTACATATTTCTGTACACGGCATCATTCACATGATGCTGGAGCCCATGGTCTTGGGCTCCAGGTCTTGAGGGTCAAATCTCGACCCTCAAAACCTTAGAAGCAATAAACGCGTTTCTTTGAAACTCAAACTCGTTTCTCTGTGCAGGTGGTGGAAAAAGACCTGCCCAGATATATGTAGCACCTCTTTGCGTTCCTCCATTGCCTGACCTCTCGCGTGAACTTCAGGGTATTTGTGCGTGTGTATCTGGACCAGTGATGGACCTGTCTGTAAACCCAACCTCAGGGTGGGCAGGGCCTGATGACCCCCAGCGTGCAACTTATTTCCAGAAACCGCTCACTGCAAACCTTGTAAAGACCACTTGAGAGGACAGTAGTTAGCCAATATAGAGGGTTTGCATCATGGATTTCACTATAAACAGCCATTCCCTTTTTTTCTTTTCAGTCCAAATACCATCCCAGTTTATTTGTTTGGTAATGAGTTTGCTTATAAGAACAAATGCCACAAATAACTTGGCTTTATGCAGAGCCAGCTTACCTTGCACTTGTCAAAAAGCTTATTATTGTAACATACACTGGTAACTTATGGAACAAAATGAAAAAAATAAAATAAAATGCTGTCTTGAACATTCTTTTGGTGTTATGTTAATTTATTTACATATATGTGAATTTTGTCTTGCAGCAGAAATTAAACAATTGCATCTGACAGGTTTTTTGTACAATACCAATCCTTAAAATCAAAAGTGTCTCAAATTATATTTGATAACATGTTAGATTTTTTTTTTTTTTTTTTTTTGCCTATTCATAGGTTTTTCTAAATATTTCATTTGAGAAATGGACTTTTGGCATTCAGAATTTCCACTGACCAAACCATGCTTCCCATATAGTAGCTGTTCTCTGGATTCTGCTTTTAAACATGATCCATAGTTTTTGGAGGGATTTCAAATTGAATTTTATTTGTCTGAAAGATGTTTTTTTTTTTCTTTTCTTAAACTTTCCTATATTATGGGGGGGCTTCAAATGTAAGGGAGATTAACATAACTGTTTAATAGATCACCTTGTAAATATTCAAAAGTTTCAACAAACAAGTTTCTGCTACTGAAAAAAGAAACTCATTCAAGCTGCAGCACAAAGTTTTGAAAATAATGCAACTGTGCTTTCTGTTCAGTTTTGACTGAAACTTGATCTACAATGAAGAGATTATTTGCATAAACCAAAACATTTGTTTAAAGTTGGGGATGAAAGATGTGTAAACTGATTAGGAAAAAATTCCAACTGAAACTATAGCCAACAAATTTCTTGAAATTAAATTTTGAAACAAAGTTTCACCATTTAAAATGTAGTTTTTGCATCGTCATTTCTGGTCAAGTTGAAATATTTTTTTTTAAATTTATCGAAATGTTTTTGTTTTTAACGTCTTGGTGAGCTGGGAGAAATTTCCGTTGGCTGCCGACATCTCTTGGGAAGATTTATATTTGCTCCATCTCTAAATCAATGTCAATTTGAAGATTTGGAGCCTGATCTGTTTTGAGGCATTTACTACTTGTTCACTGACAAATGGGCTACACTTGTAGTCAGAGGCTCGAAACATTTTAGGCCTCTGTTCGCCTCGGATGCAACCTCACTGCACAAACCTTTAGTTTTTATTCAAAACATTGTATTGCCTCCGAATGCGTAATGAAAAACGTGCAGTCGACTGCACATTTAGTTCATCCAGCCCGATGCAGCCGCTGCGTGAAGAGGATGACGCACAACAGCGGCGGAGATGATCAGCACCGCTGGCTCTGAGGGTGACGGCGTCGCCGTAAAAAACAAACAAACAAAAAACATCCAGCGACAAAAGCACATTGACCGGAGAGTGATGCCGTCGTCTGCAGCTGAACCGGGAAACGCAGAGTAAGATGAGATGTCCGGCCGTTTAGCGGCGAGTATCGCTGCACCTCATTCCGTCTGAGGCAGACAAGGGTTGCGCATCGTCACAAGGAGCCGTGTGCGGGACATGGACCCAGCGGCTGCGGGAATCGGGAGTGATGGAAGCCCGACAGAGGAAGCGGCCGCCGGATCCAGTCTGGAACTTGACTTTGGGGACACCGGTAGGTGTCGTAGCCTAAATGTGTTCAGTGCGATGTCAAAATCTCATAGGAGCATTTTAGCAGAGTTTTTTTTTTTTTTTTTTTTTTTTTTTTGTAGATGTGAAATAAGCAGCTTAAAGAAGTGCAACACTTTAAAAAGCATCATTCGATCAAATAAATGGCTTGACTTGATAGCTATAGAGATGTATCTGCAGCAGCAGTTGTCAGTAGCTCCATGCACGCCGTGTCCTGTGTGTGTGTGTGTGTGTACACACGGCTGTTGTGAGGAAGAAGTCATAGATATTTGAATATGGAACCATTCTGCCGATGGAAACATCGATAAACTCTTATTAGAAACAGAAGCTGTTTATTTCTATGACACGCAACGTGTTCTTTCTGCTGTCATTGCAATTCTTATCTCATATGTCAATCTGAAGGATGCCTTTATTGATTTAAGATTCTAACATAAATCATACTTGCGTTTCTTGCAGATGTGAATGTACAGACATACATTTATTGTTTCATCTGTGCCCATGATGCTTCAGTTGATAATTTGATAAAACACGTTAATAGTCACCTCCAGAGAACAAGGGAATCGAAATCCACCTATGTTCAGTGTTACATTACTGTCATAGCTACAGACCCGCCATTTTCTCAGCTGATAAGAGGCAGATTTAATCCTCTTAACTATGACACACACACACACACACACACACAGGCCCCCAAGACACACTTGAAAGCTCCCAAAATATGTTATTACTCTGTCATCATTTTGAGATGTCTCTATTTGCTTTTTGTTTCAGTGCATAAACTTTGAAACTGAGAGTACAACTGGCGGGCCATCATGCTCAGCTGGAACGCTGTTTGTTGCTCACTGACACATTTATTCTGCTCTGACCCTAATCCCACCGAGAATGTTTGTGTGCATGTCCTACGCTCACTGTTCCAGCATTAATCTGCAGGTTACAGGTGTGGGCACTCTGGTGGGGGGGGAAAGGGGGGAAGAGGCGCTTTGTGACAAGGCTGCTGAAAGGAGGCTGCTGAAACCACGCAAATCCATCAAATGAAGGACTATGATTCGCCTCATTGGGTTTAAAGTCATAAAACTATTTTAGACTCTCAAATAGTTTTATGCAACTTGTCCAGCTTTGATTTCTAATTGTGTACGCAAAGTCGGTATATTAGTTGGAGTTTTCCTTTGAAATTTGAATTATTTAGTCATTTTAATGATCTTTTTATGTTTTGCCAACAAATCTGTTCATCTTAACAGTTGTTGTTAATCCTCTGCTATATATTGTCTGTTGCCACAACAGGATACATGGGGTCTAAGAGTACATGGTAATATCCTAGGCTAGGTTTGAGACGCTCCTGAAGAACTGAGTTTTGTTCAAGGAACGACTGAAGACCAGTTTTTCAGAGAATATCCGTATCCTGGCACTTACCATATACTCCCCTCTATCTCTGCACTACATTTCTAGGCTGTCACTTCTAATTTCTCTGATAGAACCTGACTACTACCTTTTAATAGTCAGGTTATTGTTAGCTTTGATTTCGACTTTATTGTGAGTTACTCAGTTGTAAGTCACTTTGTTTAAAAGTGTCTGCCAAATGCATAAAAACACATGTTGGATCACTGTGAGATTTAGTAGATACTTTCCTGGTCCAAATTGTTTTTCACATAATAGAAACAGTGCATATGAGACAATGTTAATGAGGGTATTTCATTATTTAATTTAATTTTAATTTTTTTTTTTTTTTTCAAATTTAGGATATTTCCAAAGAATATCATAAAAATAGATTTGAGGTCACAGCATCATACTTTTTAGTAATCTCCCAAAGCCAGGATCCAACCAACAACGACATTGTTTGATTACCACTAACAAACCTTTTGAAGGTTTGGATTTTGGACTATTCTCTCACTCGAATATTATTTTCTCCAAACCATTGTACCTCCTCGGGAAAGTAAACATTCACCCGAGTCTTTTGGAGCCATAAACAGGTTACTTCCTGGATTCTCCTCTATTTATCCGCATCCATCTTCTTATCTGCCCAGCCTACCTGCCTCTAGCGTTTGCTGTGTTCCTTACATGGCTTACGGCAATTTAAAATGGGATTTATTGTTACCGTCTTTCATTGATACGCTTTGCAACAGTTCCTTCAAGACCAGATTTGTACCCGTTTAGGCCTATAGTTGTCCCATTGACAGATTCCTTGATCTGATTCAGACCACATAAATAAGTTGCATCTCAGTTAAACATTTTTTTTTGTGCCAATATTTGATTTGTCTAATGATATAATAAATGTATTTGCACTCGCTAACCCAAGCAAAAAAAGTTATTTCTTTCATCGTATCATTTATTGCACATTGCCTCCAGTAGTGGCAGCACCATCTGCTACAGTCTCTACTGTGTTCATTTCTCACGGCTTAAAGATTCATCAACTCAGCTCCATTAGCAACCTTCATCTCCTCCTCCTTATAACCTCGCACACCATTAAAAAAAAAACAACACATAAAACATACAGTACTCTGATGTACAATGTGCTGTCTTTTTGATTAACTTCCTGTTCCTGTCTAATGGTCCCACATACACACAGGCAGCATCTAGATTGGTCCCTCTTGTCTGGTGGAAAGACTTTTTTTAATCCTTGATTGTGATTGGTTGCTGATGTGATCTGCAGCACCCAGCCAATGGCTGCTCTCAGATTAGGCAGGAAGTCAATCCGATAGAGTTTTTACCTTGCCTGCACAAATCTACAAATCTTACTGATCCAGAAATAGAAAACAGAAGACGTCGAGGCTGAGAAGAGATTTTTTTCTTTCGGCCTAATTTTTCTCTAGTTTTTCCTCTCACTCTCTCTCTTTTTTTTTTTTTTTGCCTGGATCTTCAAAAAACGTGCAACTTGTAAGGTGGTAAACTCTTCTTCTGGTGAGTTAAATCACCAATTCACCTGGAGCAAGGGTAACAAAAGATGTTAAGTTAGCCCTCTTTGAAGTTAAGGTATTAAGAGTTTTTGTTGTATGTATCTATCAGTGAATATCCCTTGTGGTGTGAAATGTTTGTCCAGCCTGGGAAGCCTCTTGTTCTGCTTTGTGCTTATTTAATTCGCCTGGATGATTTCCACCAACACCATAAGCTTGAATTTAGAGCTGCTGCACCTCGATAAATAACAAATAATATTTAATAATGCATTGATGTAGGCACCTCTTGATCCTTCTTTCCCCTGTGTCTACAGATTCAACCCAGAAGGCTCAAATAACAGAGGTGAGAGGCTACTTCACATGATACACCTGACCGTCTCATCTGTCCTCAGGGCTTATTCTAGCTCCTGTTTTACATTCTTTCATAATTCAACTCAACCTTTTGGGGGCATTAGAAGTCGTTTGTGCTACCTTTTGTCACAATCACAGTGGCTTTGCTCACTCTGTGTTTGGTTTTAGATGCCTTCCCTGTTTGGAACAGAACCAAGTCGTGAGAAGAAGATCGGCCACAGGAGAGTAGATGCCCACGGAGAGACTACATATAAAAAAGTGAACTTTTATTTTGTTTGTTTAAAACCGTCTTGGCCCTCTTGCTTCTTTTCTTCGCTACTTTTCACCTTCGCTCTCTGTGCTCTCCTTCTTCAGACCACCTCTTCTGCCTTGAAAGGGGCAATCCAGCTGGGGATCGGATATACCGTTGGCAACCTCAGCTCCAAGCCTGAGAGAGATGTCCTCATGCAGGATTTCTACGTGGTGGAAAGCATCTTCTTCCCCAGGTGGGTGAAGATTGGCGTCACATTTATCGGTGCTTATTGTAATTTTTATTAATATTAAATTTACTGGTCCCTTACAGTGAAGGCAGCAACCTCACTCCAGCCCATCACTACCCAGACTTCAGGTTCAAAACCTACGCCCCCGTGGCCTTCCGCTACTTCAGGGAGCTGTTTGGGATCCGGCCAGATGACTACCTGGTGAGGTCTTTTCCATCCATAATCCATATTATACTCTGGCTTACATTTACATGTATTTGCTGCACAAAGTGATGTGAAGCAGTATTACAGTCCATTCTGGGATAATTCATACTCCTTATTTCATTTTTTTTTTAATGGAATAATCTAAACGTTCAACATAATTGATCAGGATTTTATGAGAAGGATTTTGAAATTTTTTTCTAAGTAAAAAAGGGTGCACTTTTATTCCAGCCTCTCTATTTAAATACATCCAAATTATGTAAATCCCCTAATTTAGTTTCAGCATAAATCCATTTGTTCTATGAAGGCCTTAGAGGTTTGTTAGTGAACAAACAGCAACACCAAAACCAGCTTGGATAATTAGACTGGATTTTAAAACAACATTCAAAGCTTTGAACACCTGCAATCTGCAATCAAATATCTGCAGATTGAAATAGTGCGACAAGTAGCTGTATATACCTACCAAGGTTATGCTTCTAAACTTACAGGCTGCATAAAGAGAGCATTAACAAGAACAGCAGCCATGACGTCAATGACAGCTCTGGAGGAGCTGCTAAGATGCACAGCTCAGGTGGGAACATCTGTTGGGAAAAACAGTTCAGGCTGCAGAAAGAAAAAGCTGAAGGGGGCAAGTTCCAAGACTATGTATTGACGGAATACACTCGCACTGTATTTGTCATTCTGTTGAGGTAAATGGCCAAAAAAAATAAAAAATAAATAAATAAATATATATATATATATATATATATATATATATATATATATATATATATATATATATATATATATATATATATATATATATATATATATAAACCTACTCATTAGTAGCACAAAAATAATAAGCTGCAAAAAATAATAATAATACAAAAGATTAAAAATCATAATATATTTTTTGTAGCAGGTGGTTTACCTTTCAGAATCCACATTTGCATGCAAACTTGCCATGAAAACAAGCCTCATAGGCTTGTGCCATTATTGCACAAGCCTATGAGGATCATGCATGTCACGGCGCACCTGTGGCCCCACAGTGACAACAACACGTTTAAGCAGCTGGTCGGTGCCAGATGGGGATTAGAAGAGAAAAGCTTTCCTTTTTAAATTCCAAGTTGTGACAGCAGATGGCCCACATACTGTAATTTGTTTGTCTTCTTGTTGTTACTGTGCCCATTGAGCAGGAGTATTGTCTCATGTTTGAAATGTTTGAATTAATTTGGCAAACTACATGTGACATTACCCTGAGCTCAAGTCGCATTCTCGTTACCAAACAGTCCGTGCATAGTAAGAAATTCAGAGTAAATGCAGGTTGTTTTTCATCATATATATATATATATAT